ATGTTTTTTTTTTCACTTTGTGCAGTTGAAACATTAGTAAGTTTTCCTTTACATAAAAAGAAACTTAAATATATAAAGCAAATCTTCTTATATGAAACAGTACGACTTAAAATCTTGGTTGATCATTATACAGGCATCAATATGCCTTAATATTGATTTATGTCTTATTCATGTGTTTAGAGAAGTACACCCTTTTGCAAATTAATTTAAACAACCGGTTTAGTTTCCTTTCTTTCATCATACAATCAGTTTTAGACCCACTGGAGTGTCAGGGTGTAACCAATTTCTATTTTTCCTCAGATTAGGTCACTTGCTCTGGTGTGCAATAATATGGATTTATTTTCGGGGTGTATGATGAAATTTGTTTGGCCTTGAAAAATATTGAGTCATCCCAGATTGCATCAGATTTTCATCACTCTCAGACACTATTGTCTTGACTGTCGATTAGTTGTCTTACGGCCATCTGTCCGCAATGGACGTTACTCCAAGGAAGCGTACGAAAATTGTAACGCTACACGAACACACTGGCAAGCTTTACCAGTGAGCAAATCAAAGTACTATAGATTGGCCCGGAAACTCTCCTGATTTAAATCCAATCGAGAATTTGTGGTCAATCTACAAGGAACGACTTTGTGGAATGGACATATGAAGTAATAATATATGTGCTGGCTGATGTTTCATTGGGAAAAAATGAAAAAGAAGTAAATAATAGCGGAATTATTCGTTTTGTTTCGATTAATTTGCACAAGGGTCTATCTATCTATCTATCTATCTATCTATCTATCTCATTCTGTTCGTATCTATCTATCTATCTATCTATCTATCTATCTATCTATCTATCTCATTCTGTTCATATCTATTTATCTATCAATCTATTTATCTCATTCTGTTCATATCTACCTATGTATGTATCTATCTCATTCTGTACATATCTATCTATCTATCTATCTATCTATCTATCTATCTATCTATCTATCTATCTCATTCTGTCCATATCTATTTATCTATCAATCTATCTCATTCTGTTCATATCTACCTATGTACAATCTTATCTCATTAAATATACATATCTATCTATCTATCTATCTATCTATCTATCTATCTATCATCTATCTATCTATCTCATTCTGTCCATATCTATTTATCTATCAATCTATCTCATTCTGTACATATCTATCTATCTATCTATCTATCTATCTATCTATCTATCTATCTATCTATCTCATTCTGTCCATATCTATTTATCTATCAATCTATCTCATTCTGTACATATCTATCTATCTATCTATCTATCTATCTATCTATCTATCTATCTATCTCATTCTGCTTTCATATAGACTGTACTATAAACTGGCCCAGAAACTCTCCTGATTTAAATCCAATCGAGAATCTGTGGTCAATCTGCAAGGAACGACTTCATAGAATGAATATACGAAGTCATGTTTCATTGGAAAAATACAAAAAAAGTAAATGACAACGAAATTATTCGTTTTGTTTCGATTAATTTGCACTAGGGTGTACATATATTTTTTAAATGTGTTCGACAAAACAAAATTTTTCCCAAATTTTCGGGACATTTATTTTTACTTGAGAACTTCTTCAGACTAACATCACGATCATTGTTCTTTCACATGTAATGATTTGACACTCTGGCCTTACTTAGGAAATATCAAATTGGTTTTCTATAGTTTCGAATTCTTTTTTACAATATCCGCTAATACATTATTCGAACAACGATGCGTCAATTAAAGACGGATTTAATTTATTCCAATCTTGAACGGAACCATCGATTTTGATCTTTCAAATAGTCAATTCTATTTTAATTTGATACATGAGTTAAACTTCAGTTTTATTTAATAGATATTTCTTTATTAGTATGTTCAACTGATCCAGTAAAATGTTGGAAATCGCGTGGTAATGTGTGACGTCATGAGCTGCGGTGCGATTTTCATTTCCAGCGTCTCATATGCACGAGTTTGTTGTTGCTTGAAAATCTTCCATGTAAACAAAAACAGACTATCATTATTGTTTTGTCTGTGTATTGTTTAATATATTGTAATGTAATTGTTATCTTTGATAATGGCTTATGTAAGCCGAAAGCTTACATTGGATTAAAAAATATGTATCATTATTGTGATTTTCTGTCTTCTTTTAATGATAATGCTATTAATATATATATAAATATATAACGATAATATTGGTAATCAGTGTGGATATTTCCAAAAGGATATAGATCCAGAGAGAGCTCTATGTCAGAGACAGAGCAATAATTAGTATTAAAAAAGGCACGAACACTTAAAATTTCATGAGGTTATATTTATTTCGTTAGGGTCTTTAAAAAGGTCCAGATTGATCAGACCTTCGAATCTAAATGGGGCCTTTTTAAGACCCTAACGAAATAAATATAACCTCATGAAATTTTATTTATAATATATATATATATATATATATATATATATATATATATAGCTGGCCAGTCTTATTCGAGGATACACGGTTACTAGGGCGGCTAGTCAATTCCTATTGCAGACGCTTCCTCAGGCACATCTGTGTTTTTTTCAACACTGACAGAGCCTACCTGTGGTTTATACAGCAACTCTGCTGAGCAAACCTACAGTTTGTGGCAAATAGCATGTTATCTAGCGTGATCAACAATTTGAACAAGGCCGACACGCTCAAGCCCTCGGCCACGATGACTTGTCACTTCGTGCTAGCACAGTTATCGACGACCCCCAAAGGTTCTGTCAACCCACTTTCACTCACAAGGCTTGGGTCAAACCGTGGTATGGTTTTCAGGCACTTTCCAAAAGTGTCGCGCCCTGGAATCGTCCCTTCTAGTCGGATAACATCAGAAAGTCTCTTTTCTGACAAATCGACCATAGTGAGATTCGAACCCGTGTCTCATGGTCAGAATGTCAACGTTCTATATATATATATATATATATATATATATATATATATATATATATATATATGTTTGTTCCCCTCTCTCTCTCTCTCTCTATATATATATATATATATATATATATATATATATATATATATATAAGCAAATATATGGATATAGATCCGACAGTATGAAGAAAAATATATACGAAAAAACAAACAAAAATCCTTATATACAATTATGCTGTTTTAATGTTAATATGTCATGTTGTATTGGTAATGTTATAATTTATGAATATGTCCTGAAGATGGTTTATTAGACCGAAACGTCCGACGTTGACATTAAACATTAAAACAGCATAATTGTATATAAGGATTTTTGTTTGTTTTTTCCGCATAGATTTTTCTTCATATATATATATATATATATATATATATATATATATATAAAGAAAAAAACATAACCACGTGACCAAGAAAAAAAACATAACAAAAAGTAAACAAACAACCAAGAGGGTCGGGGAATACCATTTCTTCAAAATTGATAAAAGAGGGAAGTGGGATATAAAAGAAAAACACGGATCAACAGGGGTGGAATTATTTATTCAATCAAAAAAAATAAAAAATAAAAATAAATAAAGAATAAGGAATAAAGAAAATAATAAAGAAAGTGAGGTGAGGAGACCGAGTCTAACAATCATCATTTTATATCTACATTTGTTTGGATTTTCGTTTTCGAACTTAATAACTGATTAGGTTCCTTATAGAGGGCTATGGCTAATTTCTCCTCAAGACAAAGTTTACAGAATTTATAACCTGCTCTATATTTAGAACATCTTTTTAATATTTCCCATTTCAGGATCGGATCTTTGTTAATATCCTGTCTGATGTTCCATATGTAGGTTGATAATGTACTGTTATGTTTAGTTTTTTCATTATGAAAGCTAATTATATGATTATAATAGCGTTTTTTAAACACATTTTGAGTAGCTCCTATGTATACTTTAAGGTTTATATCATTGTTATAGTCATTTTTGTCCCTATATATTTTAACCTGGTACACCACGCACTCCTGTTGACATTTCCCTGGAGGGGGAAGTCTTTTTTGTTTCTACATATTCGCTACGTTTGGCATACAACTGTAGCTTAGTTTTACGCTGTTTTTATTAAATATTTTATGAAGTTTGCTAGTCTTTGGGAAATGTTGTGCCAGTAAATTGAAGAATATTTTACCGATCTTATTTTTTATAGATAGATTAAATGGGAGATTAAACCATAATATATTTCTATGTCGATTCTTATGTTTATTCTGTTTTTAGTATATATATATATATATATATATATATATATATATATATATATATATATATACATATATATATATAAATATATATATATTATTTAGTATATATATATATATATATATATATATATATTTATATATATATATGTAGTATATATATATATATATATATATATATATATATATATATATATATATATATATATATATATATATATATATATATATATATATATATATATATATATATATATATATATATATATATATATAGGTGGCGTGTGTAATTGTCAACTTAGGTTACCTTAATGTGGTGCAAGTTTATAATCTCAACGCATCTAAGGATGCTTGAATTTGCTATTAATATCACACAAATCCTATCGCCATTCAATGTCCCGTGATATGTAATCTCACAGAGATAGATATACACAGGCTTTTAATAGAGAGAGTGATTTAGTCAACCAGGTAGCCAATGAGGAAAGTAGGCAACAATAGTGGGAAGTCATATTGGTAAGAACGCAACATTTAGACAGACGCTAACCCCATTTCACACCAGGAAATGAATATAATTTCCATATAAATGTTGAAGACAGCAATAACTTATGGACAATGACTGAGAAGAATAGGCTGTGGCTCGAAGTTCAGGCGAGGTGGGCTGATTCTTCCTTCGATCTTTGGCATGGCTTCAAGGACCTTCATTCCCAGAAGCAAAATGCCAGACGACAATTCTATTGAAAACGTTATACTCGAAATATGATCAGGTCACTGTTTTAATGGGTGGGGGGATAATTACATTTCTGGACGTTTGATTATAAAATGTTGATAATGTTCCCTGAGTACGATATGTTCATATCCCCTACGAGATTTGCCTTGTACCAGACTTATTGATTCACAAATTTCGACTGCACATTGATTAATGCACTATCGACAGCACAGATTCAATCCTGGGAATGTGCTCACAATGAAAGTATCTCAGTTTAAATAAATCATGATTTATTTGTATCGGGACGGTGAGGCTTGTTACCCTATATATGACATGCGGACAAACGAACAAAATACTGGAGATAATAATTTTAATTTGCCAACATCGGTGACATCCAAACAGTCATATTTACTCACAACTCTAAGTAAAACAGGGTTAAACAAAGGAAGAAATGTTCAAGCAAATGGGATAAACCATTATCATTTATGTATCCAAAATATCATCATCATCATCATCATCATCGTCCCCTTGACTTTTGTAATCGTAGGGGTGGGGGAGATCTGAATGCAGACGCCATATTGAACCACCCCCACAACGGTCTTATCAACGGCAGCCATCAGCAATTCTGGTATAGTCATACGTGTCCATTGTTTGACATTGTCCAACCAGTTTTTGTGTTGGCGTCCTCTCCTTGTCACCTTGAACGGAGCCTTGCACGATGTTCTTGCACAGACTATCATGCCTTGTAAACGTTTCCAAACGACGCCATTTTTTTCTCCATTTGACAGTGGCGAGAAGAGGTTGCTGGTGGCCCACCAAACTTTTCAACAATTTCCATTAGTTTTATGTTCCCAATAGAAAATTCCAAGGAATTTTCTCATACGTTTGTTCTCAAATCCTTCTCTCTGTATCTTCCATCAGTGTCCACATTTCACATCCATATAGGAAAATGGAGACTACCAACGATTTGAACAGTGTATATTTCGTTTCAAAGCTGATTTTGCTCCTCCATATTCTTGCTAATTTGGCCATCTCTGCCATAGATGCGGCAATTCGTGTGTGGATTTCCGAGCAGCAGGTACCATCTTTAGACAAGATTACTCCTAAGTATTTAAAAATGGACACGTCCTCCAGTGAATTCCCGTTCATTGTAATGTTGACACAAGTGTTACTGTTTGTGCTATTCAAAATTATTTTAGATTTCTCGGACGTTACTTCTATTCCATGCGGTCCTGCTCTTTCAACAAATTTGTTGCTCATGCCCTGGAGCTTATTATTACTCCCTGCTGTGAGGTCAATGTCGGCTATATTTCACAATCCACATATAGATGGCTTTATCTATCTCTACATTCAATTGTTGAAGCACATCATGTGATACAAATGTTTAATAAGCTGCTATAACCCATCACATGTTGGTGTCCCATGACTTGCTGCATCAAAAGGTATCCGATTTAAGTTTCCAAAACAGAACACTTTAAAAAAATAAGGAGACATTCTCCTTCTTAAAACCATTTTTCATTTCACAGACATCAGTTGATGATTCATGGGGGTTGCGAAGCTTGGGAGGACACAACGTGAAATTTGGCCACACACAACAAGAACACTTGAGATAGGATACTCGTACATGAGAGAAAAGGTTGTTAGACATAATAGATGCAATATATATACAATAAAATATACAATATACATATAATATACAATATAATATACAATATAATATAATATACAATATACATATAATATACAATAAAATATAATATACAATATAATATACATTAAACATATATAATAATACAATATAATATACAATATAATATACAATATAATATACAATATACATATAATATACAATATAATATAATATACAATATAATATACAATATAATATACAATATACATATAATATACAATAAAATATACAATATAATATACAATAGATACCAAAATGTCTATTGTTTTTAACAATATATGTTTAAGAGAATAATTACGGCCAAAATTATACTGCATTTAAGAAAACTCATATTTTATATTTTAATATGGACTCTTGGATATATAAAATAATTTATTTTGATTGATGTTCTATATGAGCGGATCAGTTGAACTGAACTAATGTGGTAGCGGGCAATCATTACAGTAGTCTGCGACCAAACAGAAAATAAATACAGTCACTTGTCGTATTATTGACTTGCATAACAAAATCTCTCTCTCACGCACACACACACACACACACACACACACACACACACATATATATATATATATATATATAAGAATGGATAGGATAAAAACGCGAACTCCATAACGGTTACAACATATTTGCAGCTGAAGATTGCAAGAACTGCATTAAACTCCGAGTCGGGCTATCGACGTTGATATATATATATATATATATATATATATATATATATATATATATATATATATATATATGCATGCAAATAAACAGAATGCATATATCCAAATAAATAATTAATTGTTTACCATTGCACCTTTTCATCTACTGAAAAGCTAGATGTTAAGAAATTTTATATTGGAAGCACAACGACCCCTTTTAATCAAAGATGGTGTCAACATATTTCTTCCTTTAACAACAATGCGTTCCGTAACCGAACATCCTACTCTAAATATTTTTGGTATTTAAAAGAAATCAATAAAACTTCCACAGCAAAATGGAAATTAATTAAAAAAAACGAGAATTTGTAAGTCATTAAATATCCCATGTCCACTGTGTCTACAAGAAAAGCTACATATTATTCCATTTCGTAAAAATAACGATGTATTAAATCAGCGGAATGAACTAACTGTAATATGTAGGCATTTTACAATGTTTAGTTTAAAATATAGTTAATAGAATTTTTCATTAAAAATCTATATATTACAATTATATATTTATTATTTATTATATATAATGTTAATTATAATATTTATTCAATTTCTCGATTTTTAATTTTAAATATTGCCATGTTTATGGCTCACTGAAAATAATATGTATTGTAATATAGGATTAATATAATATATAAAAATGATTTAATCATACAACTTTTAAGATAGTTCTAAAGTGTATACAAAAATAATTTAAAAATAAAATAAAATACTAAAATTAACCTATTGCCGTAGGTATATCCCTGATCATTTAATTAAAATTATATTCTTAATCGGAAGTAATGGTATCACGTCTAAAAATGACAGCTTGTCAAGACAAGTATAAATAACACACACACACCTAAATATCTAATGTACATTTTTTCACTTTTTCTACTTTAGCTTTGACCTGTCTTTTGATTGGTCAACCAGGACATACCATTAAAATTTTGAAATCTTATTTCCCCACTTCTTCTTAAATCTTCAATAGAAGTAAATCATTTTAATCAAAAGTTACCCAACATGGAACAAATTTAAAGTTCCGAAACAGAAATTTCCGTGACGCGAAGTAAAAGATTTTTTAATTAAAAATATTAATATATGTCTGTGCGTGTGTGTCTGTGTGTGCATGTGTGTGTGTGTGTGTGTGTTAATAATAAAAGAAGGGTGCATTTATTGAAATCTGTACTCAGAGTTTAATGCATTTTTTTCACCCTTACCTGTTATGAACCTGGACTCTCCCAGCTATAAATAGGAGCAGGTACTGCCTTTTGGAGAGGGAGGACTCTTGTTTGTATACGTTTGTATTACTGTTTTCTGTGAATATATTTGTTTAACTCAATTCCTCACTTGTGTCTTTATTTATGACCCTCACAAGACCACTACAAAACCTAAGCAAATGTTTTGATGAACTTATTTACAGGTTATATTTTCCGTTCTCTACTCTAAAAAAACTTTATTTCCACGATTATATCTATCTATCTATCTCTCTCTCTCTCTATATATATATATATATATATATATATATAAATCGTTACCTGGAAATTCTACGTCAACTGTCATTATTGTTTTCTATTTTCCATTATTCAAAAGCAAGACAATGAGATGAGTTAATAATTCCACTTCTTTACCTCCTTATAACATTTTCTCCGCCTGTTTCATTCTCTCTCTCATTCTCACTCTCACTATATCTTTACTCTCTCTCATTCTCACTATATCTTTTATTCTTTCTTTCACTCTTACTTTCACTATTTCTTTTATTCTCTCTCTCATTCTCACTCTCACTATATCTTTTATTTGCTCTCTCACTCTTACTATATCGTTTATTTTCTCTCTCACTCTTACTCACACTATATCTTTTATTCTCTCTCACTTACTATATATTTTATTCTCACTCTCACTATATCTTTTATTTTCTCTCTTATTCTCACTATATCTTTTATTCTCGCTCTCTCATTCTCACTCTCACTATATCTTTTATTCTCTCTCTCTCATTCTCACTATATCGTTTACTTTCTCTCTCACTCTTACTATATCTTTTATTCTCTCTCTCATTCTAACTCTTACTATATCGTTTATTTTCTCTCTCACTCTCACTATATCTTTTATACTCTCTCTCATTCTTACTCTCACTATATCTTTTATGTTCTCTCTTATTCTTACTCTCACTATATCTTTTATTCTCTCTCTCATTCTCACTATATCTTTTATTCTCTCTCTCACTCTCACTATATCTTTTATTATCTCTCTCATTCTCACTATATCTTTTATTCTCTCTCTCATTCTCACTCTCACTATATCTTTTATACTCTCTCTCATTCTTACTCTCACTATATCTTTTATTCTCTCTCTCACTCTTACTATATCTTTATTTTCTCTCTCACTATATATTTTATTCTCTCTCTCATTCTCACTATATCTTTTATTTCTCACTCTCACTTTTATTCTCTCTCTCAGTCTTACTCTCACTATATCTTTTATACTCTCTCTCATTCTTACTTTCACTATATCTTTTATTCTCTCCCTCTCTCTCACTCTTACTCTAACTCAATATATATTTCTCTTAAATAATGAAAAATCAAACACAAATCTCTCCGTTTTCAATGATTCTTATGAAGCTGATGTTAAATTCTGGATAAAGCAATTGTCAACATTAGTTGCATTCGCAGACATATTTCCTCGAAACACTCAAGTAGAGATTTTCCAAGCGTAGCTTAGATGTGGCACAAGGGCGAAAGTATGGGGCATCCGGTGAGGATCGAACTCACTTTTCAGTAGTAACTGAGCTAGCAAGCCAAGCTTGCTAACCATTACACCACGCCGAGGTACCCTCGAAGCATACAAGTACCTTGAAAGATTGGCACAGGAAGGCACGTCTACCCATGAATTCTTGCTAAGTGTAACAGATTAACTCTTGAAGTGAGACAAGCAATGCATCTTCTTTCTCTTTGAAATGTCCGACCCACAGGAATATTCCATGTAGTTTCTCTAAGATACAATCGAAAGTAATGTTGACGATTTCGCATTTCCTGTGAAATGATTTGTCTATAAATTCTACATTCTCTTGACTCCGAGAGAGTTACACAGTTCGTCATAATAAGTCTGGCTTTCATGCAGCCAACAAATTTAATGTTGTCTTGGCATAGGCTGTGTGCCAACTGACCATCCTTTTAATTCTGTTGACCATATCTTTGGGAATCGCTGCCACACAAGCTGATTTGAATGAGCAGAATTAATAGCAGTAACAGTAACAAATGACCAGGTTTTTTTTTCTCATGTGAAATAGCCAAGGAAGTAAGGACTTTAAATTTCTCAACTAAAATACTCAATAATAAAATTCCATTCTGCGCTCTCGCACACACACATATACACACAGATTTTGCGCTTGGCCCACAGTGTCTCGTTTTGGAGAAACGCCATAAAGAGGTCTCCAGGTCAACAACCGGTTGTTTAGAACAACGCAGAATCATGAAAATATCAAGCCAAGCCGTAATGGTCAGTGGCGAAACTATTTTGAGTAAACACCATTCCAATTGGTGGATATCTCTGCGCCATAATATGTAGGTATTTATATGTTCCTTCATTTGAAGAGAATATGACACAAGGCAGTTCTTTGAGGAGGAACTCTTGCATATACGCCATAAGTGGTTTACTTCACTCAATGATGAAGACATGGCTGTTTGACATTTAAACTCTGCACCATTCGCAAAAACTGGTCTGATTCCATATTCCAATCCATGAAATGGTGAAGTTTTCAAAATCAGTGATAACCAAATTTACTTCTAGTCCTCATCCATCTGTAAATTTATCTTTTTTATTTTCTTCCTGTTGGAAAAAAAAAGTAATTACGGATCAAAAGAAGCGAATACATAAACCGAAACCAAATAAATAAAGGAAGAAGGTCGAAGCAATGTCGAAACTGTATGACGTGACTTTGAATCAAAGAAATTAGATATACTTTCGATAACAGGTTAATATTTGGGGTGGAGAACGAGAATGATCGGTTTTATGGGGTCGATTTGCACTTGAGCCAATATTATAAACAAAATAATCAATAGAAAGCTTATTAAGCGTGAGACGAAAGATTTTGAAGCTGAATCGTTTAAAACCGCAAGTATTTACTTGATAATGAATAAAATCGAGCTAAAACCCTTTTTTTCTTCGATTGTCGTTTTTAGACTAAAATATGATTTAAAGAAAAGCAGAATTAAAAAAAGAAAGCAAATGAAATTTATTTCAAGCAACCACTTTTGCTAGATTTGCTTCAGACAATTTCATAAATACAATTCTGATGAGAAATTGTAGAAACGATGAAAGAAAAAAAAAGATATGTAGCGGATATCATCGAATAAGTTCCTTTCTCTTATCGTATATCATTTTTAGTGACTATTTCTCACTCAGGCCATCATCCAATTAATACTTTTTCAAGCAATCGATTTATCAATTCGTTTTTTGTATCGTCAACAAATTTCAAACCCAATTCCTGATAATTTTTGTATTTTATTCTTCTTCTCAAATCTTCTCTGCGACTACGCTACTACGCTTTCCCAACGTTTCCTTCTTTCTTCCTTCTTTTCTTCTTCCTTTTTAATTCGTCTTCTTCTTCATCCTTCTCCTTCTTTCTTTCTTTTTTTTCCTTCTTTTTCCTTCTCTTTCTTCCTTCTTCTTCTTTCTCCTTCCGTCTTCTTTCTTTGACTTCTTTCTTCTTCTTCTTTTTCTTCTTCCTTCTTCTGCTTCTTCCTTAATTTTCTTCTTTCTTCGTATTCTTCTTCATCCTTCTTTCTTTTTTCTTTTTTTTTTTTTCTTTTTCTTTTCTTTTTCCTTCTTTTTCTTCTTCTTTCTTGCTTTTCTTCTTCTTTTCTTCTTTTTTTTTTCCTTCTTTTCTTCATCCTTTTTTTTCTTTCTTCTTTTTCTTTCCTTCATCCTTTTCTCTTTTCTTTCTTTTCTTTCTTTCTCCTTCTGTCTTTCTTCTTTGATTCTTTCTTCTTTTTTCTTCTCCTTCTTTTTCTTCTTCCTTCTGCTTCTTTCTTCTCCTTCTTCCTTAATTTTTTTCCTTCTTTTCTTCATTCTTCTTTCTTCGTATTGTTCATCCTTCTCTTTCTTTCTTTCTTTCTTTCTTTCTTTCTTTCTTTCTTGCTTTCTTTCTTTTTCCTTCTTCTTTTTCCTTCTTTTTCTTCCTTCTTCTTTCTTTTACCTTCATCTTCTTCTTTCTCCTTCCGTCTTTCTTCTTTGACTTCTTTCTCTTCTTTCTTCTCTTCCTTTTTCTTTTCCTTCTTCTGCTTCTTTCTTCTCCTTCTTCCTTAATTTTCGTTTTTCTTTTCTCCCTTCTTCTTTCCTCGTCTTCTTCTTCATCCTTCGCCTTCTTTCTTTCTTTTTCCTTCTTCTTTTTCCTTCTTTTTCTTCCTTCTTCTTCTTTCTTTTACCTTCATCTTCTTCTTTCTCCTTCCGTCTTCTTTCTTCTCCTTCTTTTTCTTCTGCCTTCTTTTTCTCCTTTCTTCTCCTTGAAATAATGAGAGCTACCGGGACAGAACAGTGAACCAATCAGCACTAAAATTACCAACACACCCTCTGTTATTTAAAAGGTGCTCACATATGGCGGAACCATAGGTATTTGGGAAACGTCCATTCACAGATAAGGTGTGATTCCTGATCTTAGTGGGAATATGCTGTTTAATTCTCATGTCCAGACGTTGAGTAGTTCAGCACCGCAACTACAAATATATTTATAAACAATAAAATTAATTTTATGGGGAGAGAGAGCATCCTTGCACCCAGAACGAAACATAGGCCGGGTTTGGAAAACTATACGGACCTCAGCCGAGAAAAAACAACGTCGAACATTAGCTGAAATCTGCCTAATTATGCTTTCACACTTGGATCCAATTCAGGACAATCTAAGATAAACAAGGCACTTTTTAACTGTACAGAGTTTGACCTTTCTGAACTCCACAATTTTGTTCTGGATGACCGAATGAAAATTTTTGGGGGATACCTAAACCATCTACTTAAGGTTTCCTTCACAAAATTGATTTCATCATCCAAGAAAAGACTCTGAGTTTATCATTAATGCTCTATGAACTAGGGTTCTAATTATGTTTATCTTACATTTTCTAGGACAAAAGGAATTCCATATATATATATATATATATATATATATATATATATATATATATATATATATACGTTCTAGACAGAATTATTCACTCCCGTTGAATATTTGCATATTTTTTTTTAAGAAAATGAGAATATTTGCAAGTCCTTACTGAATTTACCATAAATATTTGATTCCGTCTTTAGTCTTGAATAATTCGTGACATTTTAGATGTTTGATCTATTATATGCATAGTTATATTTTTTTTTTTTAAATTGATGCAGTCCAAAATTATTTCTCCCGCCCTGCTTAATAATTAATCGTAGTAGTGCGAGCATTCTGCTCTGGGGATGCTTTTCTGCTTCTGAACCAGGAGAACTAGCGAGTGTGAAGAATATCATGGATAAAGAGCAGTGTTTGGCTAGTCTTAAAAATAATATAAAACAAAGTGCACGAAAACTGTCTTTGGAGCGTCACTGAATGAAATGACCTGAAACACACGGCACGAATTGTTGCAAAAATACTTAGATTATAGCACAATTAAGGTATTGGCGTACCACACAAAGTCCTGACCTAAATCCCATGGAAAAAATATGGATATATTTGAGAATGACGTCCTGCGAATTTAGAAGCTATGCCAAAAAAGAATGAAGCAAATTACCTATTAGTGAGGAACTATCAAAAATGATTAAAAGCAATAGTTAAGAATAAAGGTTTCACAATTGATTATTGAGGCAAAAAGGCCAATAATATTGTCCTATATTAAATGGTTTTGTGTGATATTTTTGCATTATTGTTTGACATGAAAATAAAAAAAAATTGTTGTAATCACCCTTGCACATTATTTTAAGTCCATTATTTCATCATTTGCGAAAAAATGCACATGAATTTTCCCTGAAAATTTGATGTATTACAGTTTTATTTAATCAAAAATAGTATGAATAATATTTATATATATATATATATATATATATATATATATATATATTTGTCAAATTTATATAATTACACAGCAGCCCTTTCATTAAATGTCCTTCAATTTTACTTTCATTTGCCCCATCTCTCTAAACCTCTTCTTTTCCTTTCCCTTCCTCTTATTCTGATCTTCAACATTAGATCGTCTATGGGGAATTGTGTATGTCACCACGAATTGTATTTTTTATGCATTAGACATCCGACAACATTCATATTTCTCTTACTTAAACCGTTTCCACTCACCTCTCCTAAACTTCTCTCTGTTAAGGTTAAATCTCCCTCCTTCTCTCATCTGTTACCCTCTCTTTAGCTCTAATTTTCGTCCCCACCCTCATACTTACTCTCTCTAAATTCTGTTTTTATTTCCGGAGTTGTTTTTTTCTGTTTTTTTTTTTTTTGAATTTGTAGGTCTGATGAATTGGATCGTATTTACGATTCCAATGGAATAAATTATGACCATGGATATTAGTGTTTAAGCCTTTTTTTTATATATATATATATATATATATATATATATATATATATATATATATAGTTATACTCGTTTGAAAAAAAAAAACCTTAGGTAAAAATATAATTGAACAAACCAATGTCCAAGGAAAAATGAGGAATAAAAAACGAAAGAACTAAGAACATGTAATTGAGGCGAAAACGATCGTCCAGAATCCAAGCTCAGAGTCCAAAAAAAAAAAAAACTCAAAACGAGTAAAGCAATAGTAACTACGTAAAGTGCTCAATACATAAGCAGTGCAAAAATTTAAATATGAACCTAATGAGCCATATAAAAACATACTTTAATATTATGGATTTTTGAAATTTAGGTAGGTTTACCTATATATTTAGGTTCCAATATATATATATATATATTACGATAAACGTGCAATCAATTTACAAATACATGAATTATTCACACAAAACTAATGCAAAGGTTAATGATTTAAATGGCGAGACATCCATCATCGCAAACAATTCAAATAATATACAAAAACCTCCGTATCCGTTATGAATGAAATGATCCTTTGTTTATATAAATTTCTGCCGTATTAGTTCTTATTTTTACTACAAGCTTTCGTCTGATCCTACAGATATCTTCAGGTATAGAATGGATGTTGTTCTTGTTTTTTCTCTTAGTAATAAGAGGACAACGAAAATATATGTATTGTTGTATCCGAAAATGCTATTGAAAATGAGTTATTGTTTTTTTGTGAATAATTCATATATATATTATATATATATATATATATATATATATATATATATATATATATATATATATATCTTTATTGGAAAGAACTCAATCTCTATAATTGATAGAGCTAGCATAAAAAAAAATTTCACTTGAAGATGGAACAGGGCTTATTTTAACTCAATTTAATTTAAATAATTTAAATCATTATATTGAAGTTTTGCATTTTTTTGTTTTGAAACATGGGACTTCTTATGTCGCGATTTGGAATCATATTTTTAAATAATTTATTATATATATATATATATATATATATATATATATATATATATATATATATATATATATAAACGTTCATGCATGTATATGTATAAGGATATGTTATATATTGTTAATGGAATTTGTTTTTCTGAGAATGACGAAAATCCTCATTTTAAAGAATTATATTTGTTTGATGAAGATTAAAATTCTCTCATTTTCCTTCTATTTTTTATTCTTCTTCTACTATATATGTGTTCTTGCTTCTATTAAATTCCTTTTTTATATATATATATTCCACAATAGACCGGCATCGATAGATCTGAGCCGTTTCGTTAATTCCAGTTTCCGATTTACAATTAATTCCAGTAATTCCTGTCTCTCCTTTATATATGGTAAGTTTGATTTTTATATATATATATATATATATATATATATATATATATATATATATATATATATATATAATATATATAAAAAAAAAATATGATTGATAAGTTTCGACATAATAGTTTTCATTTTCAAAAACAAGAGCCGAAAAACTTTTCAATATAATTAAAAAATTAAATTGAATTAAAGTATCAAGCCCATTTTTCATCCTCAAGCGAAAATTTAGGAATTTAGATTCTTAAATTTTCGCTTCATATTAGAATATAAATTTTGAAGATGCGTTGAACTAATTTATTTTAATTTTAATTATATAATTATATTTAAAATTTTAGCTTCCATTTTGAAACATGGTTATGCTGTGTAACGAAAAAAAACATATTTTAAATCTGTTAATTTATAATATTTATGCTCTGTAAATTTACATTGATTTTTTTTAAAAAAAAAAAAAAATAACAAGATTATATATTAATATTATATATATTTTAATTTTTTTTTTTATACACACACACATATATATATATATATATATATATATATATATATATATATATATATATATATATATATATTTATATTTTGTTGTGTGTGTGTGTGTCTATAAAATTTATCAAGTCAATATATATTTAGCAAATAATTTTATTTGAAAGTTTGACTATATAATATTCTGCTTAATGAAAACGTGGTAGATTATAAGATTATGCTGAAAATAATTTTATTGCGTAAAATAAATATTTTTCATCATTAAGATACATATTTGTATAGCCATGTATACATATATATATATGTGTGTGTGTG